CCCTATAGACTTTGGATTTGTTAGCCTTCCTAACTATGAGACAATTCCTCATGTGTATACATGATCTCTATATTTTACACACACACACACACACACACACACACACACACACACACACACCTCCAATGCTAATCTTATTGACTCCCACCAAGTTGAATGTATCTATTTGTTTTAAATTTCTAATATGCAGAGCTTTCAATGACAAATAATAGAAACCCACTCAAGCTACATGAAGGTATTTATCAGCTAATGTAATTGGGAAGGACAGGGAGAGAAACAGTTTTGGGCATATGTATTCCTAAAAACACAAAAAGTCTTGTAAAGATTCAGTGTTGTCGGAGTCCACATCTCTGTAGCCTCATGGACAGGGAAATAGCACTGAAGCCACTTCGGAATCATATCTATATAGATTACACAGTCCAAGGGGAGAAAGAGAGAAGCTGTGTCTCTATCCTTGTTTTATATATTCAGGTGAGGATTCCAATCAATCCAGTGGGGCAAAGAAGGAGAACACTGAGATTAGACAGTTCAGTTTTTCAAAGCAAAGGGGAAAGTGTTGCTAAAAGAATGCAGAAGGAACACCAAGAATATAACAAGATGTCCACTACATCAGGTGAACATGGCTTGATTGCCCCTTTCATCCTCTGAGGACAAAGGCTACTGATCCAACCAGAAGTAGGACTCTCTCCCTGACACTCCCATTCAGGGTAGCTCCAAATTTTCCAAGCAGGCAGAAGCTGGAGCAGAGTTCTCTAGCTCTGGTAGGAAGAAACCCATTCTTCTGCCAAGAAAGTTAACAAATTGAAAACCATGAGATTAACTGGTCCTATCTTTAACCCTCTATTTCTGTCCTGTAGGATGTAGTTAGAGCCAGCTTAAGGGGTGGACCATTCAGGAAGCTGCTGAAAGAGCACTAGAAATTTAAGAAGAGAAAAAGTGCTATTTTATAACATTTCTTTCAGAAGATATAAAAGTTGCTTCAGGATAGTTACAGTGTTTGCCACTTCCCCAACAAAGAAAGCAGAATATTGTAAGTAGACAGCTCTGTTTTCAAAGCTAAGAGCAAAGTGTTGCTAAAAGAATGAAAAAGGAACACCAAGAATGTACAAAAGATGTCTCCTACATCAGGTGAACATAATATTAGGCAACTTGGATGTAGAGAAACTGTGTATCAAGTTGGAGTTTCCCAAGAGGGAAGCAGATTGCCTTTGGACTACAGAGTAGCCAACTTCATATTCCTGCATAAAAAATGGACCTCCCCGCACATACCACTGCTATGCCTACTATGGTTCTCGATTAAATAAGAGATGAAAAAGGTTCTTGTCCACTAGAAAGCACCTCTGAAGGTGTGGAAAGTATATCTGCCTTCCCTGAGGTAAGAATACTCAGGAGGGGTATGTGGGTCCAATACCCTTAAGGAAGAATAGTATAGAGCAGTGTGCATAGGTTTTGCAGCTGGAATGTCAGAGTTCATGTTCTTGACTTTTCTACTTAAGATATAGGGCAATGAATCTAGGTGTGGTAGCACACATCTGCAATCCCCGAGAGGCTGAGACAGGAAGATTGCAAGTTTGAGATCAGCCTTAGAAATTTAGTGAGACTTGGGCTGGGGATGTGGCTCAAGCGGTAGCGCGCTCGCCTGGCATGCGTGCGGCCCGGGTTCGATCCTCAGCACCACATACCA